AGATTTTGGACTGTCTCACCATCGATATGGGAGATGACGACTCGGGAGGATTCCAAGTTCGGTTGGTTTGAATCCTGGCCCTAATTCTGATTCTGAATTTGAATCTGAATCTGGAGGCAGGAGCTGACTGATGACTCAAGAGGTAGCACTGGGTTCTGTTGAGGTGCCTCGAGGCGAGTAAGTTACCTTGATTCAACCCCGAGTCAAGCATCGCTGGGGGGGAAGTTTGAGAGCCTTGGCGGATGACTCGGTCTGATGCTGGACCAGACCCAGAGTTTGAGATTTGTATCGTTTCTGGCGCCATGACTCGAGCCTACGATGTTGTGTGCAGTGAGGCCCTCGATACGACGCAGTTTGTTCGTTCTGCTCTGGCCTGACCTACAGGCAGTGGTTTGTGGCGTGTTGACAGAAGCTCTCTTCTCCAGGAGCTCTAACCCTCGGCCGTGTTCTTCATCCTTGCTTTGGTGTGAGGGTTCGGTACGAGGACGGACGCTTGGTGGTGTTTAACTGGTCCGGGGATTCCCGTGTCCGCTCCTTGGTCCCTTTTGCATCTGCCATGGTCTGCTCGGGTATCTTATCTGTCTTCTTGGGTCAGACCCCATATTCCAACAGTTTTCTTTGGTTCCTTGGAAAATTGTTGAGAATAGGGGGTGCAGTTATATCAACTTGCAGGCTGGTCTCGCGGCGAGGTTTTCTTGTATCCAGACTTCGAGTCGAATCCTAGGTCTCGCCCCGGGGAATCCCATTCGAAAGCACAAACTTTTCATCGTCATGCTTTTGTTGCTCACAGGTGCCTGGACCACCTACCACACTGACTAAAGCTAGACACTAGCGGATCTTCGATCCCTACACATGCCACGTGGGCGACATGAGTGCGCGGTGGCACTTGCTCGCTAGTCATGTCACGAGACTCAAGAGTCAGGACCCTTCTTGCTCGTGCATTAAGTTCAATAGCTTATGTACATTGACTTTGGGGTTTTTCTGGGTGGAAGGATCGATAGAAGTGCCACTCGTCCCGATCAGACCATGGGACGGAGCTGAGACATTTGTTTTCTGCCTAGTGAAGGTTTCTGGAATACGAGACATGCGAGGGGGGAAATAGCAATTGGTGGTTTGTAAGCTCGTGTGCTCGACTAACTAAGCTTTGTTTGTTCAGTCATGAAGTTGTGGCTGCGACTTCGATCTCTACGGGAGAGACAGGAAGAGCTTCTTCAGCTTGGGGTAGTTGGGCGTGCCCAACCCCGTAGTGGGATCCCATCTGTGGCGGTTACAGTATTAGTAAACTCTCGTGATCGGTGTCCGATAGAGTGCTTGTGGGCTGGACTTACCCGGGGATTGCGCTAAAGCCGTAGGTACCGCATCCGGCGTTGGTGCCGTTGGTGATATCATTCAGGGCTTCCGGGTGCTCATAGAGAACGGGGTTGATGAAGCCCACGGGGCCCTTTCCGACCGCAAGACGCTCCTCATTGATCTAGGAAATACAAGAAATTAGCTCTGTTCGGGGCTGGAACATCGGTGGCCATTTCCTCCCCATCTCCCCCTGATTGGCTTTGCGGGTCTCTCATGGGTCTAGAACTCACCAGCGTCAGCACGGAGGCAAAAAGTGGCGACGCCAAGCTCGCCCCGTAGAAATGGTACAGCTCCTCGCCCATGTAGGCGCGGAAATTGGCGCCGTTGGCCGCGACGTCGGGGTACGCGCGCCCGATGCGGTTGTACAGGCCCTTGGTCGTGTTGAGGTCGACCTCCAGCTCCGAATAGTGCGGATAGGTCAGGTTGGCGCGCTTGAAGTACGTCGCGACTGCCTTCTTCTGGTACTCGGGCTGCGGGAAGTAGTTGGAGAAGCCGCCCGAGGAGCTGAAGTTGCTGGCCGTGCCGCCCAGGTTCACGTGCATCACGCTCTCCGCGTCCTCGTAGGTCTGGTCCGCGTAGAGCATCGTGCCGCCCACCGAGGTCACGTACGGGCAGTTGGACGGGTACTGCGGGTTGAAGATCTTCGCCTCCGGGCCCAGGCACCCGTTCGCGTTGCCGCCGTCCCCGGCGAAGGAGGCCACCCCGTAGTCGCCGGAGGCGAAGAGGATCGAGTGCCCTTGCAGGCCGAGCTTCAGGAACTCGTTGCATTGGCGCTTGGTGTACGCGACCGGGAGGTCTTTCTCGGCTTGGCCGTAAGACGCCGAGATGACGTTCGTGGGCTTGTAGACGCCGCACTGCAGCTTGCCTGTGGTACTGTTAGGCTGCCTTGCTGTTGGAATACGGTATCAGGAACATACCTTTGTATCCGCCAGCGTTGGGGTCAGGATAGACGGGGTCGATGTCCGGGTCATTGCCTTTCTCCCCGTATGCGCTGTAGGTACAGTAGGACTGGAAGAGTTAGCTAGAGCCGCGAGAGGGGCAGGGTCAGACTTACACCATCCAAAGCATCCAAGAACGTATTGAAAAGGTTGGTAGTCGCAACTTCACGCGGCTCGTAGTACTGATCGTCGACTTGATACAGGGTGACTTGCTGTGGGTAGATCAAGGCGTAGCTATAGATTGTCTTAGTTCCGTGCATCCTGAATCAGCTCATTTTACATACGCCATGTCAATGTCAATGTTCGATTCACCGGTGTTTAAGGAGCTGTCAGTCGGGACAGAGTAGTTGGCTCCATCGATGAGCGCTGGGATAGGATACGTGCCCTGAGGAACCCAAGGAGCATAGGCTTTGTAGAAGAGATCGAGGTCGGCCTTGGCAAAGTAGTCGCCCTGCTCATACAACCCCAGGGTGTTGCCCTTTGTCGCCTTCGTCGCATCGGGGATCTGGTACAAGGCCTTGATGCACGTGGGGGTCATGTTGGATCCGCAGCCTTGCAGCTCAGTCGGCAGCAGTTTGGCTTTGCTGGAGATGATTTCATCGCCAGCGACAGCCTTCACGTTGGAAGCATGGCCAAGCTGCGACGCGCGCTTGACCTTCTTGCTCTTCTTGACCACCGGAGTGAGCTTGACACCGGGCGTGATGTAGTCGATGTGGTGCTGGATGTGTTCGGGGACATGGTAACTAGAGACAAATTAGCTAATGGTATGCCTCTCACAAGCGCCATACACACCTGTCACATCCGACTCTGATACTCGCACTGCTGGCGCTCTCGTGCTCATGGAAACTAGTCTTCAAGAGGTTCTCGGCTTCGTGTGCGTAAGCATCAAAGGCAAGCCACCCCTTGTTGTCGGAGTGCACCACTCGAGAAAGATCAATGCCAGCAGAGGCAAGCCATTCTCTCACTGCCTCGACGGCTTCTTCGGAGGGACTGAACATGTCATGAACCTGATCCGCTGTCCAGTACTGGCCATAACGGGCAGACTCCGGATGGGAGACTTCCATGAGATAATCGTACCCCTTCTCCAAATTGCTCTGGGCCAGCCCAATGCGCATAGGCAGGACAGCATGGCTGTCGACGCGGGCCCTCTTCACCCAGTCCGAAGAGTGTCGGTCGCGCTTTTCATGCAGGACATGCTTGACTGTTGCGGGAAGAGCATTGGCCAAAGCCGCAAGGGCCAGAGCCACTGTAAGCTGGCGAACAAGCATCGTGAAGTCTGGTCAGCGCGCTCTGGGAACGAGCTGGCGGAAATCGAGCCGTTCAACGCGACTTTAAATAACATGGCAAAAGCCCCTCACGAGCAGTGGACCCCTTGCAGGCATGGCAAGTAGGTACCATGCGAGATTTGATTGCGACATGAAAGCCCACACCGCCGACAGACGAACCTCGATGGGCTTCTTGATTGGTTGGTGGTGGTGTCGGATAGGCTCTTGGTGCCTTGATGAACAAACGCAGAAGCGGTGGCATCCAAACATCCTTGCGTGATCCTGGGCAAACGTCTATTGGGGTCATGCCGCTTATCTGGCCGTTGCAGAGGACGATTGGACTGTCGACATTTCTAGCCTCGGTTAGCGGGTTTGTTATCTGCAGCTAAGCTTCCGGGGCCGGTGTCATTCGCTGCTGCCACCGGAGTATGATCGGAGAACCGACTGCCACAAGGCGGGAACGCGATAAGAGGCTGCATTATTGGGCAAGCTGTAATTTAGCTGCATGGCTGGTATGATTGCAGACCCATGTCTATCGTTGCGAGTGTGGGATGAGCTGCACAGAAGAAAGCGGATGCTTCGTGGATCAAAAGATCGAACCACCAGAGATGAAGATGCATTGTTGTGATGTTGTGAGATCCGATAAGCTGCGAAACAGTAAGACACGGTCGCTTATTAGCCAGATTGGCAAGGTTCACTTCCTTTTGATCTTGGAATCAGTCAGTCTGCTTAGTGAATGCATATTTATGAAATGGAAGTTGTAACTTTACCAGAAGTCCCGCGCAAAGAATAACTTCTTGCTCTGGCTTCATGTCGATGTCTGAACTTCCACGGAATCGTCAATTCAAGATGCCCAAGCGATGCACCATGTCATAACAGCTGATGTGAGGAGCAAGAAGGTGAAGCCTTTTGCAGTGTTGAAACAATGTCAAAGCAGAGGTGATGTTTGCATTGTAGACAAATCAGACACATCAGACAAACAGGTCACACTGCCCCTTTTCACTTCCCCTGACTCTTCATCGCTCATCTCTCATCTCTCATCTCTCCAAACACAATATGCTGTTACTTTTACTCTCCTCTGGCTGAAGCTTGAACCACTTCTAGACTTGGCGACTTGGCCATCGAGAGGGTGATCCTGCTTATGATAATTCAAGTTTCTTATGATCCTAATTGCTCCACGGCCGAATTATCCCACAGGACTTATGATCGGCCTCAGCATGCGAGCACGGCGACCACGGACAATGGGGATGCCCAGGAGAAGCTCTGATCGCAAAGCGGGGTAAGCATCGGCTAATTGCATCATTCAACCCATTGGTGCGTTTTCTTCATGCGGGGACGGGGAGTTGCTGCAGGGTTACATCAGCTAATCAACAAGCATAGGCAGAAGGACTTGCAGAGATGTTGAAGAACACCATGACATCATCCTCCAAAATTATCCGATCCGGTTCCTGAACGTCCTTGACTATCGTCTGAGTTGATGTTAACCTAGGCTGTTCACTTCAGGAACCTTGGGAGCACGTGCATGGGAAGCAGCTGTGTAGGCTATGCTTGCCCTCGGGGCACGAATGTCGCGTATTTCGGTGTTTTACAATGCGGGGATCAATGACTAGATGATGCGCCAGGCAGTCTATTTCCCCGCTTGACGACAGGCACAATCAGGTGGTCCACGAATAGCACTCGACAACACCCGGACAATATGGAACTATCAGCAAGACCGGAGCATGGGTGAAAATGGGTCAATCATGCGACCTTTATTGACATGGGTGTATGCGGGCCAATCGTATGAGCGTCGGGGCGAGAAAGCTCATGATAAAAGGCGATAGTTCTCTGCGGCGCCCACAGACTCCTCCTGATTCTATTCTCCATCGTACAAGCACCGTCAGGATGTATCTGCCAAGAGTGCTCGGTCTGCTTTTTGCTGCAGGACCCCTGGTCGCCAATGCAATCTCGTCTGAGCCTCTCTCTACTTCCGGGCGATGGATTGTTGATTCCGACGGCAACAATGTTACCTACGCTGGGGTGAACTGGCCTGGTGCAGCTGAGGCCATGTTGCCGGAAGGGCTGCAGTACCAGTCTATCGAATACATCGTCAGCAAGATCAAGAGTCTGGGCATGAACGTCATCCGCCTGACCTTCGCCATTGAGATGATCGACGACATCTATAACAACGGCGCAGATGTTCCGATCAAGACTTCTCTAATCAATGCCCTGGGAGAGACAAACGGAACAGCTGTGTACAACGACATCATCAGCAATAATCCTCAATTTAATGACGAAACTACTAGGTTGCAGGTGAGCAACGGCCAGACCTACTGCAGCACTGGATACTAATAACCGAAGGTCTACGATGCTGTGGCCAATGAATGCTACAAGCAAGGTATTTATGTGCACCTTGACAACCACATCTCCAAGGCCATGTGGTGCTGCAGCACTACCGACGGCAACGCTTGGTTCGGGGACACCTACTTCAATGTTGCAAATTGGCATCGTGCATGGACCTACATGGCAGCCCACGTAGGTCCCTTCGAAGATTGATTTACAACCTCATCCTCGCTAACCAGAAGCACAGGTCAAATCACTTCCAGCGGTCAAGAGCATAGGCATGCGGAACGAGCTCCGCACTCCGGCCGATAACGCAACCTTGACCAGCACCTCCTACAACTGGGAGGACTGGTACACCAACATGGTGGAGAACGCGAAGCAGGTGCACAGCGCCAATCCGGATCTTCTAATATTCTTCTCGGGCCTCAACTTCGACGTGACCCTGTCGCCGATCCCCACCGCATCCGATCTAGGGAGCGGCACCGTCTTTCAGAAGACGGACTTCGATTTCGCGGACAAGATCGTCCTCGAGCTGCACAACTACGACTCTTCGACTTCGAGCTGCAGCAGTCTGTCGTCGAGCTTGCTGAGCGACGGCTTCAATGCGCTGGAGACGGACGACTCGAGTATCAAGAATGTCCTGCCCGTCGTCCTGACCGAGTTCGGCTACGCGCAGGACGATACCACGTACACCGGAGTGTATGCTTCGTGCCTGGCGGAGTGGATCCCCAGTGTACACGCAGGGTGGATGGTCTGGGTTCTGGCGGGTAGCTACTACATCCGAGAAGGAACTCAGGATTATGACGAGACATGGGGTGGGTTGTTCCGCGTTGCAATGCTGACTCGCTCAAGCTAATGGTTCTTAGGACTCCTTGATCACACCTGGTCGGACTGGCGGTCTTCTGAGGCGATAGAGAATGGTATCGCTCCGATGGTTAACGCCAGTCTGGGGTAGACATGGTGAGGATTTCTTCAGCATTGAGGTCTATTGGAGATGCCAGAGTGTATCAAGATGGCGGTGTTTTGAAAACTACCCTGTGTCTCGGCCACAACACATTCATAGTGGTCAACAATTGTATTGCTTTAAACATCTTCGACCTACATGCACTCTTCTGCGGATTACAACAACTTAAAAGCGAGCCTGGTCAGCTCTCTTCATGCCCCAGAGGAAGATCACCGAGTCTGTTGATTGTAGACAAGCCACCGAGGTGATTAGCCACACATCATCAGCAACCCCTAGTCAGAAAAAGGAGGAAGGAGCATCACAGTCCGTACGTTGCAGCGACCATCCCCGGTACATCCCAGCACCATAATACCACCCTCTAAACCCGACAAGTCTCATCAAGATCGTACCTCATTAATATGCAGTGCCCTCTATCCAACTCCACCACACCAACATATCAACAATCAAACCCAGCCCAGCACACGGCATCTCAAACCCACCCCCAAAGGGAAAGTCAACCCCTACGCCACCCGAGTAATCACAAATTCAATCCCCACCCTCACCCCCTCCATCCACGCGACATCCTCCTCCTCCATCCCCCACTCCTCCAACTCGACCTCCCGAACCACCACCTCCCACCGTGTCCCCGTCTCCGCCTGCACCGCCTCCCACATCTTCACAAAGGACTCCCGATTCTGATAAAACGTCACCCCCCACGGCCGAACATACTCGACCGGCCTCCGCCGCCCCTGCTGAAACCCGACGACCGTGGTGCCGGGCCTCGAGAGCGCGACGATGCGCTCACAGGCCGCCCGCTGCCCCGCCCGGCTGAACAGATGCAGGAACTGCGCCGCGATCACCAGATCGACTTGCCCTTGCACGGGGGCCAGCGCCGCGTCCGGCATGCTGTGGAAGTCCCCCTCGATGAACCGCGCCTGCATGCGATCCTCGTCGCGGAACAGCTCGTACCCCAGCTGCCAGAGGCGGGGCTCGCGGTCGAGAGCGACCATGCGCGTGGTCGGGACGCCGTGGGCGGCCAGCAGGCGCAGGTCCTGGCCTAGTCCCGTGCCGAGGTCGAGGATTTTGGATGATTCGTCCGGTAAGCGGCGCGCGCGCGCGACGAGGGTCTCGAATTCGGGGAAGCCGGCTAGTCCGGGCAGGAGGAAGATCCACATCCCGATGCAGGGGTAGTTGCCTAGCGGCCAGGCGCGGTTGCGCTTTGATGGTCAGTTTGGTTGGCGGGGGTGGAAGGTGAGATATGGGAGAAAAGAAGAGTCGCGTACGATGTTGTGGAGGTGGGAGGGGAGTTCCTCGTCCGGGATCTCGCCCCAGCTGTTGTAGACGAATCGTGTCGAGGGCTTGAGGCGGGCACCGTAGTCGGGACGGTACCAGACTGAGGGGTTGGCTGCGGACAGGGTTGAGGTCATGATGATAGCAGAGATGTGATGATGGTGTTGATGATGGTGCGGTAGAGGAAGGGTGATGGTTGCGAGGGAGGAGGGAGTGGTTCAGGTTGATGAAAGCTGATCTCCTTAGCTGCTGTACGAGACAGCTCTACTGGCCCCTATTGCGAGAAGAGCCATCTTTAAGTGATGTAAGCTGGCGCTTTTTTGAAACCGTTCACTGGCAGTCATGAGAACAAAGAAAGCGAGCCACTTCTCGTATCCGGCGGGCTAGCCCGAGCTGACGGCGTGTAAGCCGGCGACAGTTCCGCAAGCGCTCATTCGCAAGCGTGATGAGAGGGGTAGGATTACACGGTTCCTGGACGTTCAGCCCGACTAGGTGCAGTCAGCCTCTCATTAACTGGTGGGGTTGATTTCCTCGTCCAGTTATTCTCTGATTTGACCTCGCGAGTGCGAGGCAACAAACAGTCGATGAGAGCAGACTGGGCATCATTCAGAGCCGTCTGTCTGTCCTTCCGACCGTGCCTTGCAATCTCTCGTGCGGAAGATGTCATCCGAGGCTTCACGGCTTGACGATCCAAAAGCTTTGGGTGGTGACTGATCAGCTGGAGCACAGGCGCCACGCGTTATAAGAGCCCATCCAAGAACCCAAGCACAGCCGCTGAAAATGCCGAGCGAAGGGTACACAAGCACAACATCGCCTCAACTTGGCTAAATTGCTAGAACCTCTTGGGAAAGAGCTCAGATGTGAAGCCAAGCATTTGTCTTGGTCTGGGTGGCCATGAGATGCGGGCTACCACGGCAATAACGCAGGAAGGTTACACATCGTTCGTCGTCCCAGAGGCTGCATTTCAGGAACCGTGCAACTCTCGATGAAGCCACTTTCTGTTGACGCTTGACGGTGAAGCTTCGATGCTATGGATTTATCGCAGTAGAATCAGCTCTATGTGTCTAGCTATTGCCTCTCTGACCGATTGCTGACATGCCGAAGAGATGTTTGGCCGATGAAGGCAACTCTCTCATGCCGAGAACAAGCAAAAGAGAGGGATTAGGGGGGGGGAGTGTGAACTTGGTGAATAGGGGAAACCAGGGTATGGATGTGACACAGCAGCATCCGAGCGGCAATGACCCGCGAAGGTCATTTTGGGGCTGGGGGTGTACATCGGTGTGATCTGTATGGTGTTTGCGCCCAATTGCATGGAAGTTAGATACTTTTACTGTAGGGACAAACAGCTTGGCAAAAAGTATACCTCCTTTAACGGAGCGAAGGAAAGAAGGCAAAAAGAATCTCCCCGACTGGGAGTCGAACCCAGGTCTCCCGCGCTTGTTCCCGGAAGGGATTGACAAGCGGAAATCATGACCGTTAGACCATCGAGGAATGGAGATATCAAAGGGGGCCTAATTAAGCGATAACAAAGCTTCCCATGACAAACATCAGAACAATGCTGTTTCGAAATGCCTCAGGCGGAGTGTCTGCTTGTACCCTTAAAAATCTTTCAGTGGGAGTGGGAGTGGGAGTGTGAACTTCAGAATAGAGTCTTGGCATCACAACAACTAGTTCGACATTGTTGGGAATACGATATGCGTAGCCACCAATAGCCGAAGTCTCGAGTCAATATTGCATACTTGCTCTTGCAGAGACAGTGACCTGTAGGAGCAGTTAAAGTGCATGAGACAATACTACCCCCAAGCCAGCGAACTTGCATTTCAAGAGATTAACTCAAAATTCCTACGGGGTCGACAAGTGTTTGAATGAATTATTCTCTTCGGAGGACCAAAATCATACAAACATTTCTCATACTTGGACATAATCACCCAGGCCGAGTTTATTACATCAGGGCCTCATTCACCGAGTAAGATTCTAGGCAAGTGGTGTTTTAGCTAACCCGGGAGTGTAGTCCCAGCCAGGGGGAAATGGTTGGACCAAAAGAGCGGCCGAATATGATATGGTTCCATAAATGAGTTCGTTCAACCCCGAATAAGCTTAACACGGCGGGATTCTGCATGATGCAAGGGTACGCCTCCATTTATTGATCAAGGCTGCTCGTCCCCAGTGGTCAACCGAACCATCCCCCAAAGCCAAGAGAACCCCCTATGCAAAGCACGGTTCGAGGCCTCTCGAGACCTGCGAGCCCCTGGCCTACAGTTCGGCCGCATGTGACCTATCAGCCGCGCAGTCATTTTATTTGCACCAATCTGGCAGGTGAGCGACGAGCGGCAGGCGTCTATCGGTTTATTGCAGTGGGAGAGCCAATATCCTCGACTAACATTACCTTTTCATTGAAGTCTGACTGTCGGCTCCTCATTTCGATCAACAGGCACCATCCACCTCGCCTGCGACGATTGAGCCGTCCTGCATGGACCCTGACCTGCAATTAACGCAACACCATCAATCGAATCGATCACATCAGCCCCTGAATCTCCTAAACGGGTGAATGGTGAACGGTGCTCACTGGATATGAGTCGATTGTGCGAGATATGAAGACATGAAAAAAAAGGTATATAAACCCCCCGACCACCGGGCCCATCTCTCCCAATCATCCCAACAGCATCTCTCACTCTCTCCAGCCTACTCCAACTACCAAACCAAGCCCACTTTCAAGCTTACGCTTCAATTCTCTCCACCATTTTCAAGATGCAGCCTACCGTTCTCCTCATGGGCCTTTTTGCCGCCTTCGCTGTCGCCGCGCCCACTGCCCCCGGCTCCAGCACCGACGTCACCTCCAACGTCAACTCGAACAACCCCCAGGACAACAGCCAGAACGTTGAGCAGACCCAGACCCTTCCTATCAGCATCGCTCACGATGGTATCTTGAGCAACGACGACATCGTCAAGAACGTCGACGTGACTGCTCTCAACGACGTCGCCAACGACCTCACCGCCGTAAGTGCAACCGCCCATAGCTCCGCGAGCCCTTCGTGCAGAGAGTAAGATCGCATCCGTACTGACTCAACCCCCCAATAGGCTGTCGGCGTTCTGGGAACCGCCTCGGCTTAAGGCAGCGATCATTGACTCCGGTCAAAGCCCCGACCTTCGAGACTTTCTGCGAAGGAGACAGGCAATGGTGGGAAGGAGTGGAGGCGGGATTTGTCTTGACTCGTCTTGTACTTAGACATTTTCTCTTCTGAGGTTGATAGTATTTTAATCGAGATGTGTTTATACACCTGAATCAGGCGGTCATTACTTGCAACAAGGAACTGACGTGTAGAGAGATGCCCTGGGGCTCGGATTCTCATCCGAGAGCCGCACAGCAGGAGTCTAATTGCCGTAGCCATAGATCCATGACTCCAGATCGCGCCCTCGCGGTGCGCAAGGTAAGAATTCGTCATCTGTAGCAAGGCGTTCTTCAATAGATCCTTGATCACGCTCAACCAGAACAACCCAGTGGACCGCATAACATTATGGCTCTGGTGACTCCAATAGCATCGCAATGGGGAATATACCTGGAAGTATCCGGTGTATGCGTAAGCGGAGCTGCTGGTACTGAATCAGAAGCAACACTTTCGTGATCGCAAGCTACATCGTACACGCGGAAGGAATGAGTGAGCCGTATGTGTATAGATATTTATTATATATGTCAGTGTATTTATACATACTGTACTGTGTATCTCGATATATATATGACTATTGTTTGCAGCGACCAGAGCCGTGATCGAGGATTGCCAGGACACAGCACAAGATCAATATCATCTGTAATGGGATTAAGCCCGTCATTGAACACTCCACTCGGAACATAATACCAAACATCGAACACAGCAGCAAGCTACCCCGCACATCTTCATTTTTGAAGACCCGCCAATCTTGGCACTATGATGCTGCCGCCCGCATCGCGCAATAGGGCGTGGCTGGGCACCTATAGTATCATGCCAGCGGTCTGCCGATATGAAATCCGGTACGTGACCGTTGCAGCAATATCTCAGGAGTAGCACTGCATTCGAGACAGAGGCTTAGCCATGCGATGCAGGATCTGTAGAATGGGCCGGGGCAGTTGAGTAACATGATCAGATCCATACGGGCCACGATTGGGAACGGAAGATTCGGTACTGGAAACTGTACATCATGCACACTCAATAGTTACAAAACTCTCATCTATAACTCTATCGAAAAGTCGAAAGTAAACACTATCCACAATACAGTCCGACTGTAGCCCATGCCGCCAAACGTCAGGCTAGAGAGCTACCGCCCCCCTAATCATAGCCATAGCACAAATAACCACCCTGGGTGTTCATGACCGTGCCGATCGTGACATTAGGCTTGATCTCAAACGAGGACAGCGCGTAATGCAGCGTCGCGTTCTGCCACCCGCCAGCCGGCTCGACGTTGGCCGTGTGGTTCAGCGTCGGCCCGCTGATATCGTACATGCGGTTGACGGGGTCCGCCTTCTGCCATGCCCACCACACCTTGTCGATGTAGGCGTGGTGCATGAAGAAGACCGGGTCGCCGGGGGAGGACTTTATGTCGGCCATCTACACTCCCTATTAGCAAGAATCCTCACTCTTGAATGGAATGCACAGCAATGGGGGTAACAGGGCAAAGAACATACCACACCACCGATATTCGTATGCACCCCCTTGTGCGGGATGTTGGAGACGCAGTCCCACCACGGCGAGTAGGTGGTGTACGCGTTACACGCGTTCAGCGCGGTGCTGTTGGCGTTGGCGATGGCGGCCTCGTTGTCCCACGCGCGTCGCAGGCAGTAGTCCGTGTCCTCATCGCCGGGCCCGATGTGCAGGGTCATGTTGGCGAAGCGGCCGTCGGTCACGCAGGAGCCCGATCCAGTGCCGTTGCCTCCGAAGGCGTCGGCGCCCCACATTGTGGATTGGAACATGTTGCCGCTGTCGGCGTCGAGTTGCTCGTTCCAGTAGCTTTTGGGTGGGTTATGTTAGCGTCGTGCTTTACCAGGGGATGTTGAGGGTACTGGGGGTATGGGGGACAGCGTACGGAATCGAACCGGTGTAGCCGCACTCGTCGCGGAGGAGGGTCTCGTAGATGTGCATGTAGTATCGGTGCCAGGGGAGGAACTGGCCCACGTGGTGGATGATGTCCGCGTACGCGGTGTTGGTCATCCCGCGGTGCAGCGCCTGCAGGTCGCTGAATCGGCTGGTGGTCGCGCTGAGGCCGGACTGCGCCGGCTTGTCCATCAGGCACTGCAGGGCGTCAAGGAAGTGGCTCTGCTCCTGGGTGGTCAGGTGCCGCCATTCCTTGCGGATGGTCATCTTCTCCTTGGTGCAGCCGTCGGTAAAGTAGGAGGGGATGTAGTCCGTCGTGGACTCGCGCTTCTGCGCCGACGCGGGGACGGCGGCGGCGGTGGCACTGGCTGCCAGAGCCAGTGCGGTGGTGAGAAGTGAATACTTCATTTTGAAGTAAGCTTGAAAAGATAGATTCAACGAGTGACAGTTAATGATTAAATGAGAAGAAGAGAAAGGCTAAGAAAGAAAACGAGGGGAGAGTGGTCTGCGGGGAGAAGAATGCCAGTGGTTGTGGCTCCTAGCTGGTCTTTATACAGTCCTTCCCTCGAGGTCTTTCGTATCCCACCGATACACATACTTTCGTGTCTGTGACGGGAACACTTGACAACTCCCTGTGGGGAGTGAATCTTGATTCTCAAGGTACAGTGCCTATATTCGGCATCGTCTGTGGGTGAGTGATGAGTCCACTGATCAAGGTCCCGCGTGGATTGGGCCCGCAGTCGTCGGTACCATCGGGAGACGGAGGTCAATCGACTCGTCACCTCCGAGTTTATACTAAAGTTATTCTATGGAATGCGAACGAGGTCGGTTCCTCACTGTAGCTAGAGATGCATAGCAGCTCCAGTGACAGCACTTGTGCCGGAGTATTTTCGAGTGGCCGACCGATCTGCTGGAAGATCTCTGCACACCGGTATGAGTCTCAACCACCACATACATTCAAGATGATCGCTTTAAGTAGTCTCAATGCACATACTCACATCGGATTCTTCTATACGAAGACCTCAATCTATTGACAGTTGGACTTTGTCCGAGTTGGTCAAAGTCTCCGCATGGGACGCGGCGGACAGGTCTTGGCGCTAGGGCTGTAGCGAAAGACGCGCGTCCCGAGCCGACAGGCCAGAACGCCGCTGAAGAAACTCGACCCTGACAGCAGGGAAAAGGCGCTAATGCGAACACATCCCCATAGGCCTTTGCGACGGCGGTTAGAGATCGATATTAGTTCGGTTTGGATAATGATTTCGAGAACCTTCACCGCAGGCGTGAGCAAAGCAGAACTAGGGCCATGGACTTTCGAAGGGAGATGAACTGCTGACGGGACAGTATCAATGACACTTTGGGCATGATCTTGAAGGATACAGTCCTCACGAAGATCGTATGCATCTAAGCCTCATACATGGCTGGCTAAAATTGGACAGGAGGTAAATCCATCAGTCATTAGCTCAATCCAAGATCTGACCTGGAACCCGGCTACAGCCGATACAGTTTAGCGTGAATGGTTGAGATAAGATGCAGTCGATCCCTGCCTTTTTCACAATCGGCTCCCACGTCAGCCACCAGGAATTCTCTTCCCTTGGGACGCGCAGTCCATGAACAGGCATTTCAATCTCTGTGGCGATGAGATGCAATTAAAGTCAGGATCATCCCTTGATTCTCAGCCAAGCCCACGCAATCTGCGTCTTGGCCAATGCTTGGCGCTGAGATGGTCGGAACCAGTCTAGCCTGCTGGATCGTATAGCTTCAAGGCCGTGGAATGCGCTATCCGATTGGGAGACTGGACTCAATCCACATGCCGCTGACTCAGATTCAGGCCGCTGAGTCAGATGCTCTCTGATGTACTGTACGGTAGGTACATGTTGCCGTTGCCATTGCTCCTGCGGGGTGGGGATAGGCTTATCAGGCGAGACGTCAACTTGCAAGCAATTTATGGTGGAGCTGACGATGCTCAAGGCATCGATTCTTGTTTACAGTACGCGTCTATCACTGATAACGAGTGCGAGGTTTTCTATGGTGTCTCATGGCCATTTCATCTCAAACGCGGATGCAGCTTGCCTGAACCCCAGAATGACTACACTGCACAGTCCCGACAACCCTCTCCTGTTCCTTCAGACACGCCCTCATGCCCCTGCTCAATCCACTTGAACTCTTCTTTCAGATGCAGATGAGCTCGCAGGTCCCCGGACCGGGCGTGTCCCTCAAAAAACTCCGCCCTCGCTGCGCGACCACAGAGTTTACCAAGCTGTCCACTGGCTTCATCCGACGTGACCTCCTGGTAGGTAATGGTCCGCAAGAACTTCCCAACCCAGAGACCTCCAGTGTAGCGAGCCGCCTTTCTCGTAGGGAGTACGTGGTTGGTGCCGATACACTAAGAGCCATAATTTAGTCTCCCGTCATCCCCGCGACGTCCTCAACACAGACATCGGGCACTCACCTTGTCACCATACGACACGCAGGTCCGCTCGCCCAAGAACAGCGCTCCATACGCCGTCATCTTCTCCAGCGCATCGCGCGGATTCCTCGTGAAGACCTGCACGTGCTCACTGGCGATCTCATCCGCCATCTTCCAGGCCTCGTCCATCGTATCCGCCACGATCGCCTCGCCCCAGTGCTCCCACGAGACACCCGCCAGCGCCGCCGTGGGGAGCTCTTTCAGGATCTGGGTGATGTAGGCGATCGCCGTCCGGGCCACTTTCTCGGAGGTGGTCAGAATCACGCACGGCGAGTCGGGCCCGTGTTCCGCCTGCGACAGGATGTCGGTCGCCACGGTGAACGGGTCCGCCGTCTCGTCGGTCACGATCAGGATCTCCGTCGGCCCCGCGAAGAGGTCGATGCCGATCTCGCCGAACAGCTGGCGCTTGGCCTCGGCGACGAAGGCGTTGCCCGGCCCCGCGAGGAAGTCCACCTTGGGGATGGTCTCGGTGCCGATGGCCATGGCGGCCACCGCTTGCACCCCGCCCAGGATGTAGATTTCGTCGGCGCCGGCGAGGTGCATGGCTGCCACTGTGCTGCTTGGGATCTTGCCGTTGATCGGGGGCGTGCAGCCGATCACTCGCTTGACTCCGGCCACCTTGGCCGTCAGGATTGTCATGTGTGCGGAGGCAAGCAGGGGATATCGGCCGCCGGGGATGTATCTGCAGTCGATGCCAGCATGTTAGAGCGATGGTAGTTCTGTCGCATACGCCAGGAGACTTACGCGCCAACGGTCTGGATGGGGATGTTCTTCTGGCCTAGAAACACTCCCTGTACAGTACACGATTAGCATACACAACTCACTGAGCAACGAAGAGGTAGTACCGGCTGAGTCTCGATCTCAAAATCCTGGATCGACTTGCGCTGCGCCTCGGCGAACCGCCGCACATTGGCCTGCACCTCCTTGATGTCTGCAATGGTCTGCTCCGGGACGTCCGCCATGATCGCCTGGATATCCTGCAAGGACAATCGATAAGACGTAGGCGACCATTTGTCGAACTTCTCCGAGTACTTGCGGACAGCCGCGTCGCCGTTCTCTCGGATGTCGTCAATCACCCCCTTGACGATGGCCGAGACATCAACGGACGGGGCCGTCGACTTTGTGCTCTGCGGCGCCCGTTCTTTGAGATACGTAAAACCCATGGTGTAGTTTGTTTTTGAGGAGTGTGCTCTGCTTGAAAGACAATTTCAGTAACACTGTTGTGCTGGATACCACACCTTTATACCCCTCGCCACCACCCGCGGCCCTCAACGGCTTCGGAACAAAGTCCGAAGTATCCTATCATCCCAAAATCTGCTCAAACAGACAATAAAGTCGGCCTTCTGTCCGAATACTGCATATTTGTAGCCGGAATTGAAGTGGACAAACCTAAGTTGAGGGGATGTGCAGTACATACTTTAAATCACTTCCGATGTGGAGCCGAAAAGACCAGCCCCCCTTTTTCGGATAGTTCCCCCCTTCAAAACCCAACCACACCCCCCTCCCTCCAACCCCACCCGAATCCATCACCTTAATCTTCTGATAGCTCCAATGACCACCCCAAAAGTAGCCCTCATAACCGCCGGATCCCGCGGCGTCGGGGCCGCGGTCGCGCGCGCCCTCGCCCGCGACGCCCACCTCCGCGTGGCGATCAACTACCACTCCGACCACACGGCCGCAAACGCGCTGGTCGCGGAGCTCACAACCCTCTCGCCATTACCACAGGACTCCGCCGCGCCGAGCTTCATCGCGCTGCAGGGCGACATGGCGCGTCGGGAGGAGATCACGCGCGTGGTGGCGGAGACGGTGCGCGCCTTCGGGCGGCTGGACGTCGTCGTCTCGAACGCGGGCTGGACCCGGATGACGGACTTCATGGATCTGGATGCGGCGGACCACGAGGCGGACTGGGATCGATGCTTCCAGGTCAATGTGAAGAGCCATTTTTGGCTGTTCCATGCGGCGCGCCCGTATCTGGATGCCGTGGGGGGTTGCTTTGTCGCGACCGCGTCGGTGGCCGGGGTGAAGCCCAGTGGGAGTAGTTTGGTACGTCTGTCTTTCTACCTTTGATGAACGCGGGTTGAGGGTTCTGGACGGATGCTGATTCTTGTCAGCCTTATGCCGTGACCAAGGCGGCGTTGATTCATCTCGTGCGCAGTCTGGCGGTGATTGCGGCGCCGAACATTCGCGTGAATTCTGTCGCGCCGGGGGTGCTTTTGACGGTAAGACTTTTTTGCCCCCAAGACATGGGAATTTTGGCTGAAAGTGTCAGGATTGGGGCCGTCAGTTTTCGGAGGAGAAGCTTCGGTCGGTTCAGGAGAAGAACGCGCTTAAGCGATTCGCTACCCCGGAGGTTTGTGTCGGAGTCCTTAGAGATAGAGGGATCACTAACTCAATCACAGGACGTGGCAGACCAAGTCCGTTTCTTGGCGATAAGTCCCTCGATCACAGGGCAGAACATTGTGATAGACGCAGGGTTTTCTCTCTGAGTTCAGGGAATACACACTACCTAACATACAGGTTGTAGGGGGGGGGAGCAGCCACTTTGCATCTCATGAAGAGACACATGGTAGCATGGAAGCTGGTTTTAGCTTTGCACTAGCCAACGTGGCACAAAACATTGGCTAGGGCGCCAGCTTCTTCCAATGAACAAGTTTATGCAAGCATGGAGTCATGCTGCAAGGCTGGCGCTTAGACAATGCCCCCTTTGCCGCAGTGGATTACATCAAGATGCCCAGCTATATCTAGCCAGCTCTGCAATCGGCTCATCGTAGTCCCCAACTATGTTATCCTACAGTACAGAACTCCATTCTTAGCCTTCATTGTATTTCGTATTTCATGGCCTCTGCTTTTCCCCAACTTCTACACGACCTTCGTGATCCCACAGACGCGGATCTCCCAACAGCTGCAGCCCAACCACCCCCACAAATCGCCCTCTTCTGCCGCCCCGGCCACCTCGAACTCGTCAAGACAATCTTCCACGAGATTCACGAGACTGACGACTCGATTTCACCAGGCGCCCTTTCAACCGCCCCAGGAACCATTCTCGGCCGCATCGGCCGAACCACTGCCCTCCTCTCACCAGTCCCAGACATCGGGAAAGCCAGAGCCGCAAAGCACGCACTAGATCTGAAGCTCTCTCTGCCGAGCATCGACGTTGCCATCGTGATCGGCTGCTGTACCGCAGCCTCTGATGCCGAGGACGGGAGGCAGATCTTCCCCGGTGATGTTCTGCTCGCCGACGGCGTGGTGGAATATGACATAGGAAGGCTGATTCCGGGCGGTCGGTTCGTTCGCAAGGACGTGGGGATCATCAGACCCTGTGAGAGGGTATGGGCGGTGCTGGACGAGTTACGCGAGGGAGGCGGGGGGAAGGAGCTGGGAGATAGGATTGGGATAGAGGGCGATAGAGGCGTAGGGATCCATGTTGGGACGGTCGCTTCCGGAGATCGACCCCTGGATAACAATGAGGAGCGTGAAGCGTTGAGGACGGAGGTGTCGGCTGTGGGGTTGGATGTTGGGGGTCTTTGTCTCGGTGTTGCGACTGTTTTTCGTTCCTGTCTTGTTGTGCTGGGTGTGGATGGTGATGCTGATGAGGGCTGTGGGGATTGTGGGCGACGGCGGGCTGTATGGGCTGCCGATGGTCACAAGGAGAAGCGGTGGCAGCCGTATGCGGCGCTTTCTGCGGCTTGTTGTGTCAAAGCGCTTCTTGCAGGGGTTGCTGGCGAAAGTCAAGGCTTGGAAAAGGGGGCCTGTGGTGAGGGTCAGGTGTCTCGGTCGGTCGCGCAAGCTGGGCCAGCGTTTGGGGAGGACGATGTGCCGTCTCGGCCTTGGAGGTTGTGTGTTGCCGTTTGTCTGGTCGGTGTGTTACTATGTTTGTATGTATGTGATGACTGGTTGAGAATGTCGAGCTTGTTCTGAACGGGTTCCCTCGACACGGCAGTCATAAGCTTGTTCTAGAAGAGAGTCAAGTCCACTGTAAGATATTTAGGATTGCAACCTGTATGTATCTCACCAATTCCCTCTCAGCACCTACAACCCACCACCTATCATCGAGTGCGCACAGCAAACCTTCCCCATCGGGACCATTCAAGACACTCCCGAGTCCATCAGATAAGATTCAATCCCCAGCATGAACGCTTCCACATGGCACCGAAACCCCCTCGCGTCCCAAGCAACACGTCCAACACGTCCAGCCCTATAAGTGGATTTTCGTGATCAGTTGACATCTCGACAGACCAGACACTGTGATTGGCCCTCGTCGCGTCAACACGTCCCAAGTAACACCGCCAGCGGAGACAGCCCTACAAGTGGATTTTCGTGATACTTTGACATCTCGACAGGCCAGACACTGTGATTGGATGGGTGGTGTCTCAGATCCCTGGCGACGCGTCCCAAGCAACACGTTAGCCTTATATGTGGATTTTCGTGATGCTTCTGACATCTCGACGCTGCTGGTATGGTGATTGGGCGAGAGGGGGGCGCGTTGGTGCTGACGCGTAGTGAGTAACACACGGGAGCGGGGACGGCCTTATCTGTGGAGTTTCGTGATGCTTTGACATCTCGGGGGTAGGTGTAGGGGTTGGTGGGTGTTGGGCTGGTGCCTGGGGATTATTTTGAGGAATGTCTGTTTTGTTTGAGAGTCTATAGTGCCTTCATGGATCACGATGAGGGCTATGGGGAGAATAGCTGCGCGCAAGATAAGCTGGGATCCAGAAGAACTTTAGCCTAGAATGGGTGTGTTAGATAAAGTGAATGTAATTGTGTGCATATCTTGGAGAGGCCCAGAAGCCTATATGGTCGCATTCTGGAACAAAAGGTCCTCAAGACACAGATCAAACTATGGCACCTATCTACATCGCAAAGCTAGTATTTTAGAGAATAATCAAGGACTGTCACAATCTCATATTCAATTCCTGCCCTCGAATCCAAGGGAACATCTTAAAAAAAAATAGACGCTATCATGGCCGCATGCTGTCAATACTATGTACATAAACTGAGTAAAATCGGTCAGAAAGACCATAGAAACTGCTTGTTGACATTCTCAGATCCCCCTTCTGTCTTAGTACTTGTTCTGCGGTACTTGATTGTGCTGCCCCGAATAATACTCCGCATTCGCAGGCGGTGCTTGACTGTAGGATGCATGCGTGTTGGGCGGTCCTTGGTTGTACTGCTCAGACGGGTATTGTGCACCCGAGGGCGGGCCCTGGTTGTAGCCCGTGTGGGGGTTCGGCGGCCCCTGGTTATACTGCTCCGGGTGGTATTGACCCTGATTGGGTGCTGGCTGGTTGTAAGGGAGGTTGCTGTTGGGCGGCACTTGATACTGCTCGGGGTTGTGCTGCACGGCCTCGGGCGGAGGCGCGCCCGGCGCCTGGGCGTGGAACATGTCGCTCTGAGCCAGTTGCTCCGGCGGGATATCGCTGGGGCTGGGGCCGGTCGGAATCTGCACCCCAGCCGGGGCCTGGTCGAAGTTGGCCTGGCCGGCCGCGGACTGAATCGTGTGCACCAGCCCCTTCACGGAGGGGTTGTTCGACCGGACCTGACCGGCCAGGATGTCCTTCACCGGCACTCTGCGACCGTAGAATTTCTCGTTCTCATCCGACCGTTCCACGATGATTGATCCGTCGATCTGGATGCCCCCGTACAGTCCCTTGGACTTCATGTAGGTCCAGATCGGCGCACGTCGCTTGTGCACCTCGCTCTCGACGACGCCGCCCATGCCAATCGGACCCGCGGCCACGCTGACCTCACTGCCCAGCGTGACGCGCAGCTTGGTGAAGGCCTCCAGCGCCTCGTAGGTGTTGATCACCATGACGCAGTCGTAGATATCCGCGCCAGCCAGGAAGCCCACACCAGCAGTGTGCAGGAGGATCCCCGAGGGCTCGGTCCACTGACCCGTCTGGGGATCGCGGGCGATGAGAATGCCACTGCCCCCCGCACCGCTGAAGCCCCAGCCCCACCGCATCGCAGTGAAGACAGCCAATCCCTTCGCCTCCCGAATGACCTCCGCGGGGATCTTCTTCAATACCTTCTGCTTGCCCCGCGGCTTGTCGATCTTCTCCTTCTCCTTGTTGTTGGAAGCCTCAGGCCCGCTGACGGGCGGGGCGCTCTCGGCCTTCTCGTCGATGTAGACCCCCTCCTTGCAGAAGCTGCGCAGGATACGGGCGGCCTTGTCGCATTCCTTGTCTATGGACATGGGCCAGAAGGCCTCCGCGCCCAGCTTGTTGGAGAGACGGTTGACGGGCCCACCGAGCTTGTCCAGGGCGTCCCAGCCTTTGTCGAAGGTCTTCTTGCCGAAGACTTTGGTTTTGTCCCATATTTTGCTGGACGAGCTGGCGGTATTTTGTTGTGGTTGAGACATTGTCAGGGTGTGTACGAAGGTTTTGTTTGTTGGTGAGGAAGATCAAGAGAAAGTGGAAAGTGCAGTGGAAGAAGTCAAGTATATGTAGGTGGGCTGTCGAGAGGCTGACGTCGAAGGCACCAACATTAATCTGGCAGCTCAAGCTAAGCCTTCGTAATCCGCCCTACAACCGGCTTAGCGCCCCCTTTTCCCCCCACCAAAATGTGGGTTGGATGATTTCATCGCCACACTTTCTCTCCACTTGGGCTTGGTCCGATTGGGAAATATTCTCGTTTACCTGCTTGGACTCCAGTCGCGAAGTTTGAGTCCGTCGCATGTGAGAGGGCTGAGCAAAATGCTAGTACTTAGGCAAAGACGAGATGCATGCCTGCCCTATCGTTCAGCCACGAGCTTATCGCATCTCGGATCGATGACGTCGGCCGATGTCGGTCTACTGATTATTAAGCCTTGTATGTTTGCATTTCTTCCGAAGGATCACAAGCCATAACGTACATAGTACACCATACAATAAGCTCAACTTTATCGTCACTTTCGAAAATATATATATATATATATAACTTCCTCCCTCTTCTAAGCCCTGGTATCCCGAATGGGATCCTTCTCCGCGCTCTCCACACTCTTCAGAAACTCCCTGGCCGCCTCGGGATCCTCCGCGAACAGATGCTCCGCCACGTTCCGCCGCGGCGTCTCGCCCATCCACTGGAACAGCGAGAAGTCGCGGAACCGATCCGCGCGGAAGATCTCGAGCACCTCGACCTCCTCCTCGTCCGACAGGTTCTCGATGAAGTGGCCCATGTTCTTGGGCACGATCCCCACGTCGCCCGCCACGTAGTCGAAGGTGCGCGCGTTGCCCTCCGCGGCGAAGATGGTCACCCGCGCCCGCCCGCGGATGAAGTACGACCACTCGTCCGCGTTGGGGTGCCAGTGCATCTCGCGGAGGGCCCCCGGCTGGATCGTCAGGTGCGCCGCGGCCACCGTCTTGGAGATCGGGAAGTTGGACGAGTCGGTGATGCGCACCTCGCCGCCCGAGGTGCGCTCGGGCTTCTGGGCGAGCATCTTGTGGGTGAACCGCTCCTTGGAGGGTTTGAAGTTGGGTGGGGTCTCTTTGGGGATCGAGGCCGGGTGCGAGCCCGGGAAGATGTATTTCTCGCTCGTGGGGAGGTTCTTGAAGAGCTGCGGGCGGAGGCGGAAGTTCTCGGCTAGGACGGCTTTGGGGGTGTGTGCTGTTGGGTTCTTTGCATTAGTGTGGATAAAGGGCGCAGGTGGGATGGGGAAAGGGGGTGGAAAGTCAACGCACCCATCCAGTCCGTCAGCAGGAACGTCGACTCCTCACTGAAATTGCCATCGTCGAAGATCAAGAGAAACTCGGTGCCGTTCTCCCCGAGCCCCTGCAGACTGTGCGGGTGGCCGGAGGGGAAGTACCACAGATCCCCCTTTTCCAAATCGTCGATGAACGCGTTCCCGTCGAGGTCGATCCCTGTCACGCGCACCTGGCCCGCGAGGACGTACGCCCATTCGGCCTCTCGATGCCAGTGTAGCTCTCTGTAGACTCCGCTGTCGAGGCGCATGTTCACGCCGGCGAGCTCCTTGCTGGTTCCGAGCTCGCGGACGGTGGTCTGGCGCGTCCAGCCGCCTTCCTACCCAGAGTCAGCATTTCATCTGAACATTCTGGTAGTGATTTGTTTCTGGTAACCACGCACCTCAATTCGCACGTGGGAGTCAGCAAATGACCATCGCATGTTGGGCAGCGAGCCATGGTCGGTGCTCGGGGGTCGAACAAGGTCGGGGTTCTGGCGCTCGCGGTCCTTGTTCCGCGGTCCCATCACCGAGGCGCCATCGCCCATCCGCCAGGGAAGGGGCTCTCGATCTTCTCCGATAGCATCTACCTTATGGTCCCAGGGATCACGGTGGTCGGGGGTGAAGGGCTCTTTGCTGTTGAAGAAACTCGAGGGTGAGGAGGCGGGGATCTGCATCAACTGCTGATAAACGTCGTTGGGTACTGGGCCAGCATGGCTTCGTCCAATTAAGCCGGTCACGGCCACTATTGCCAGCAGGGACTGGGGGGACCTCGATAGCAATTGCATGTTGTGAATGTGGGCGAGAGGCGATTGTCTGGGGAAGATCTGGTCTGTCGCTGAGGAGAGGGTCGCCCTCTTTATAGGTTGGTGAGGGACTATTCGTGCTCTGCTTCCGGGCTTTCCGACAACGTGGAAGAGAACCAGGGGGTGTCAAAAACCGGTCATCGAGTGGGGACAAATTTGGGAAAGGTGGCCTCTCAGGTTGAACAGAACAGCTGTTGGGTCAAAGCTTGGGTTTTGCTTGTGCTGGGTGGGGGGGGAGGAATTGATGCGGGTTATTGGCGGATGGCTCAGCCCTACAGGGCTGGGACGGCACGTCATGGTCATTACGACGTCACCTGCCTTTCCACTTGCTCGCAAGCGGCATTTCCACAACGCCCTATTTTCCGATAGGTATGCAGGGGGAAATCCCAGGCTAGCCAACTCGATGGTCCAGGAGCATCGACTGGGGACGCGAAGATTTGCTCTTGAGATCAGATAGGCTTTCGTTCCCGCTTTCGAGGGAACGTTCTTGCCCACTACTGCCCTTGGGTGGCCATAGTATCATTCTCCCCGGCTTTTTCTCTTTGTACGCTCTTGTATGACAGAGAGTTCGCTATGGTGCATTGTGTGAGCGTGCTACACACCACGCATTCACAGGCTGTGTTCCTGGCTGCCTGTGAACAAAACAGGCGGAGGCGGAACAATCCAACGCCGAAATGACCCTGTTAGCACGCTAGACCATATACACCCTAGTGTTCTTAATGTCATGCCTCAGGCATTCAATATCTAGATAGTATCATGTTAACAACAGTGAATATACAACAGAGTAGCTTGCAATGGATAATTTCTTCATCTTCCTCGCTTCTATAAAGCTTTTCATCATTTATTCTCACTTCATCTCTCTCATCTCGATACCCCACACCCACAGCTCATCCATCCCATCGACCATCTCGAACCTCCGCCCACAACTCCATCATTTCATCGCCCATACACCACGAAAATCATCAAAACAGAAGAAAACCCTCAAGATGATGCGTCGACTTCTGGAAGCAAATGCCCTGGGCCCCGTCCATCTTCTACCCACCGCGACCCGTCTCCCCAGGGCCGTGGTCCATGATTCGATGAAGTCACATTGGACCGGACCCCCCTTGTACAATCCTGCTTCCTCGAGCCCGCACGAGGTCACCATGAACATCTTGCGACACGAGGCCGATGGCGAGCCCTTCTTCACGAAGGAAGCCTTGCAGGAACTGCAGGCCCAGCTTTTACGGCCCCTCGAAGAAGGCGGAAAGTACGTGGCCATCGGGATAGACGGCACCCCGGTGGAATTCGAGCCAGCCACTGGGCAGGTCAATGAACATGTGGGACATCGATTCGTCAAGTAAGCATGATCCTTTCCTTCTTTCTATTGCTGTTTTTGTCGAGTCGAAACACCCAGGCGGAACGCAACTAACCACATCATCCCCACAGCGGCCCCGTTGGCCTCGTGTATCACTCCTGGGGCGTCTTCGTCGGGCACGCCGCCGAGAAAAAGTACCTGGACGCCGCCTCGTACTGCCGGATCGTCCCCATGCACGTGCAGCAGTGGATCCACCCGGAGACCGACGAGATCTTCGTGCTGCCCCCGCGGCCCGTCGAGGAGCCCAGTCGACTCCTGCGCAGCGCGGTCTTCGCGTGGGAGCCCAGTGCCACCTGGGCGGCCGTCCGCGAGGTGCTGGTGGCGGCGCGCGAGAAGCACACGATCACCAACTTCGTGGGCCTCGCGTGCGGGCCGATGTTTGGGGCGAGCCCGTCGGCGACGCAGCACGCGCTCGTCTGGATGATCATCCGACTCTTCCGCCGGGACGGCAAGGGCGAGTCGGACGAGCCCTTGGCCTGCTCGCTGCAGGACCCGATCTACGACGCCCAGGAGAAGCGCCTGCTGAACCTGCTGAAGATGACCGTCGTCGAGGACCCGCAGGCTTTCCTGGATGTGGAGGATTCCTCGATCGTCTTCACCTGCAACTCGGACGTGCCGGTCAAGGAGATCGTGCTGGATATCGCGCGTCCTGCTATCATGATCATTGACGATATCACACGTATCAACTCGTGAGTTTGTTTCTGGGGACGGGTTGCCGGTGCGCGAGGGGTGTGGTGCTAACAGGACTAGGATCTACGACCCTGTCACTAATCGCGTGCTCAAGGCGATCGGGGACTCGTATGAGATGTTTGACTTCCCGGACCATGAGGCATTCGGGAAGATGGCTATCTACGTGAGAAAGTAGATGCGCATCCGATGACTTGCATGACCGAGATGATGGGATGGTTGGGAATGTATTTGAACGAAATCACGAGCTGCTCACTTTTTTTTTTGTACTGTGGCGAGATTGACATGTGTTTTTGAGCAAGCTAAAATCATTGGTCTGTAAACTTTATGGAAAAATTGAAAAAATTTGCTTTCGATGGGAGAAATTATTTCTTCGGTGCGTGGGCTATCGTGCATGTCATGTCGCATGGTCGCCCTTACGAGGATGTTCGTCGGTCTTGCCTTTCCATTACGTCCCTTATGATACGTTACGTACTCGGGACTGTCGCTGAGCTTCCTCGTTCCGACTTTGCTGGACTGTCTCGCTGGCAATGTGACCGGTCGCGTCTGCCACTCAACCCGCGAATCCGTCACGTGCTCGCAAGCTGTTATTAGACATTGAGAGAGTCTCGATATATACCGTGAAAATCAGAGCATTTGCGGTGGTATTTTGCTTTCTAGGGTCTCTTGCATCGTGGACAGGGTGAAAGTTTTGTTGCCATCAAAAGTTGATTGAAGTGTAGAAATGGAATGCCGCCCGCGCGCAAGATATATTCGCTTTGGGAATGAGCAAAACCGCCCACTCACGGACGAATCTGTCTATCTTCTCGTCCCAAAGAATCGGATGCTAGAGGGCGAGACAGAAATGAATGACTTTGTACCAATTCTGGTACCCAAATAGAAAAAAGGAAAAGGAGAGAAAAAGGAGAGAAAAAGGAAAGAGAGACTGACACTTTGGTGCGATCGAAAGAGGGGAGAGCAAAAAGACAAGCGAAAAAATAAAGTGGCGCTGCCCGGAATCGAACCGGGGCTGGCACGGCCACAACGTGACGTCATACCACTAGACCACAGCACCTGTTGTTGTGGTAGCTGCCTCAACATTACGATATATAGCTGACCTTTTCTAACTGCGGGCTGCAACTACTCGCCGATCGTAGGGTCAAACCCGAGCCTCTCAGATGTAACACTACACAGACCACGACAGGGTCAATATACAAGCCGCGTCTCAACCATGTTGTGCTTCTCCAAGTTATTGATTGTCCAAGATGTGCGTCAATAAGACCCAGGGTTACTGTCTGAGGCTGAGGGCCGACCACTCGGGGTCGGGCTGAACTCTGGGTCCGATCGGGGATGTCAGCTTGTGAGACTGACAGCAGTGTCCGGGGTTAGTTACTCGCTACTCGCTACTCGCTACTCGCAGGAATTTAAGATTACGCTCAAACCTGTCGTACGGTGTAGATGTTTGCATGGCGTTATCGATGCCGAGTGCGGACTCCATTCCAGCTGATCTTTCTCCTTGCGTCAGGTGACAGCTCTAGCCCTTGGCTGCGAGATCACAGCTCAGATCACAGCTACTGTGGATCCTGGTGGCCCCCAACCAGCGTTGAAGGGAGAGATAAAGTAAGTGTGAATACGAGAACGGGGGGGATCAGTTGACGGATGACCGAACAAGAGATTTGGTTTTGGTTTGTGGTCTGGTGGGGGAGTGGCTGGGGAGAATGTCTGGGGTGGAGGCGAACCCCGGAACCGCATTGGGGCCCAGATTGCTGTAGATTTCCGATGCGCCAACAAAGAACAAAGACTAAAAGAGGACAAGTGAAATGTCACGTTAACACCATTCACTATTCACCATCAGGCAGCTGTCTGTTGCTGCATCTGCTGCTGCATTTCCGACCGCCTCCCATCACCCACGTGGGCTCTCGTTCCCCCACAACCTCGTTTTCACTTGTTATCTCTCTCCCTCTCTCTCTCTCTGTCTTTCCCACACCCATTTAAATCCCCTTTTCTCTTCTTCCACTCTCCTATCCTCCCTTCTGATCCGAATCATAGATTTTCTCTGCCCTTTTTTCTTTGTCCGCACCCCTCAAACTCCCGTGTCAAACTGCCCACCACTCACCCCCACTAGAGGCCGTGACCTCTCTCTGCCTCGGCCACCATGTCGAGCAACTCCACCACCCCCCAGGTCAAATCCCAGGCGGGAATCCTGGAGGGCAGCAATCCGACGGTGTACGACTCGTCGAACCCGATCATCCTGTTCATCATACAAGCGAGCATCATCATCGTGCTGTGCCGGTTGCTGCACTGGCCGCTGTCGAAGATCCGGCAGCCGCGCGTCATCGCCGAGGTGATCGCGGGCGTGGTGTTGGGCCCGTCGGTGATGGGCCGCATCCCCGGCTTCACCGACGCCATCTTCCCCAAGGCCTCGATCCCGGGGCTGAACCTGGTCGCCAACCTCGGCCTGATTCTGTTCCTGTTTCTCGTCGGCCTGGAGACCAACCTTCGCTTCCTGATCAGCAACTGGCGCGTGGCGATCAGCGTCTCCGCCGCGGGGATGGTCCTCCCCTTCGGGCTGGGCTGCGCCGTCGCCTACGGGCTGTACAACGCCTTCCGCAACGAGCCCGACACGGTGGACATCAACTTCGGCACGTACTTGCTGTTCATCGGCATCGCGATGGCCATCACCGCCTTCCCCGTGCTGTGCCGCATCCTCACCGAGCTGAAGCTGCTCGGCACCAACGTGGGCGTGATCGTGCTCTCGGCGGGCGTGGGCAACGACGTCGTGGGCTGGATCCTGCTGGCGCTGTGCGTGGCGTTGGTGAACGCGGGCTCCGGGCTCACCGCGCTCTGGGTGCTGCTGGTCTGCGTCGGCTACGTGCTGTTCCTGGTCTTCATCTTCCGGCCCCTGTTCCTGCGCTTCCTCGCCCACACCGGCAGTCTGCAGAAGGGGCCCAGTCAGTCCGTCGTGGCCATCACCCTGCTGATCGCCCTGGCCTCCGCCTTCTTCACCCAGGTGATCGGCGTCCACGCCATCTTCGGCGGGTTCCTGATCGGCCTGCTGTGTCCGCACGAGGGCGGGTTCGCCATCAAGCTGACCGAGAAGATCGAGGATCTGGTCGCGGCGCTGTTCCTGCCGCTGTACTTCACGCTCAGCGGGCTGCAGACCAATTTGGGTCTGTTGGACAACGGCACCGTCTGGGGGTACGTGATCGCCATCATCGCGATCGCCTTCATCGCCAAGGTCACCGGCGGGGCGCTGGCGTCCCGGTTGAACGGACTGCTCTGGCGGGAGAGTTTCTCGATCGGCGTGCTGATGAGTTGTAAGGGGTTGGTGGAGTTGATTGTTCTGGTAGGTCCACAGCCCCCTCCCTCTGTCCCCATCCATCTCCCGAATACTCCGCAATATCCTTATGGAGAAGAAACTGACATGAATAGAACATCGGCCTCCAAGCCAAGATCCTCAGCACGCGCACCTTCACGATGTTTGTCGTCATGGCCCTCGTCACCACCTTCGCGACCACCCCCTTAACCGTCGCCCTGTACCCGAAATGGTACCAGATCAAGGTGGACCGGTGGCGGCGCGGCGAGATCGACTGGGCGACGGGCAAGCCGTTGCCGCCGGACAGCCGGATGGACAGCATCACGGCGGCCAAGTCGGCGCAGCACGGCGACCACCACGAAACGCTGGGCCACCACCGACCCGTCCGCAATTTGCTGGTGTACCTGCGTCTCGACGGCCTCTCAGGCCTATGCACACTCGCCGGCCTCCTCGCCCCGAACACTCACACCCATAACCACACCAACAACAACAACAACCACCCGCGCATCCATCCGGATAAACGCACGCCCACCGATCCCGACACCAAGCACGCGGACGAATCCGCCCCTGCCGAAACGGAGATCACCGAACTCGACACGCCGACCCCGCAGAGCCTGCAGGTGCACGGCGTGCGCCTGCTGGAGCTGACGGACCGCGACTCGAGCGTGATGAAGGTCTCGGAGATCGAGCAGTACACGCTCTCGGACCCGGTGGTCAACACCTTCCGGGCGTTCGGGCAGTGGCACGACCTGTCGATCGTGGCGGGCGTCTCCGTCGTGCCGGAGCACTCGTTCGCCGACACGGTCGTCGGCATGGCGCGCGAGGAGGCCGCCGATCTCGTCCTGCTGCCCTGGAGCGAGACCGGCGCCATGGGCGAGCAGTACCACCTGCACTCCCCCGTCGAGGAAGGCGTCCGCTTCCTCGACGGCCAGCCCTACGCCGCCTTCGTCGGGAGTGTCTTGGACGGGTCCCAGACCGCCAGTGCTAATGTGGGTGTCTTGGTGGAGCGTAATCTGTATGCGCCCCAGCATGCGCTGGGCGCTGCGGGGGGCGCTGGGGGCGGGGCCAGTGGGGTGAGGCATCGCCCGTCGTTGGGGGCGATGAGTGTGCAGCGCAGCTCGTCGGTGTGGAATGCCCGCCGCGGCGGCGGTGGGGCCGCCAAGGCGCATCATATCGTCGTGCCGTTTGTCGGGGGCAGGGATGACCGTCTCGCGGTCAGGTTCGTGTGTCAGGTCGCAAGCTGTGATTTGGTGACCGTGTCGGTCGTGCATTTGGATATTCCGGGGGCCAGCAGTGTTGGTGTCAGTGCTAGTGGGAGTGGCGTCGTGCCGGAGGAGTTGGTCGAGTCGGATGCCACGTTCTTGTCGGTGATGAAGGATTCCTTGGACGAGGAGGTGCTGGATCGCGTGGTGTTCAAGAAGACCGCAGTCAAGACGGAGGCAGAGGCCGTCGCGACGATGGTCGAGCTGGTCAAGGACGAGATGGTCCGCTCGCATCACAAGGCTGGCAATCTCGTCGTTGTGGGCCGACGGCATTCGGCTCTGGATGAGCTACTCGCCGATGGTGGCGCTGCTCACGATGAAGTCGGCGCCGAGGCCGCGCGCGTGCTGGGTGTCTTGGGCCAGGCCTTGGTGAAGAAGGAGAACCGCATCGTCGGCGATGTGCTGGTCATGCAGAGTAAATAAAGGCGAGAGATCCTCAAAAACAGGACGGACATACGTGATACCCCCCTCTTACTTTTAAGATTGGAAACCTTTCCTACTTAGCTGTTATGATTTACTGAATGTGTGAAATGAGATTTAATATTGTGGTATTTTGATTTCATCATGATTGTAATATGTATGTGCAGAACATTTGGGGCTGCAATGCTAAATAACCCCCGACATGACACTTATGTACCGTACTTTCGAATATGCAAATGCAATGCTAACATGACAG